ACTGACCGATGGCGTAATCGGCACACATGACTGCCTGCCGACCTTCCTCTCCTGCAATACCTACACCAACATCCGCTTTTTGGATCATGGCGACATCGTTGGCGCCATCTCCAATCGACAAAGCCATGATGTTCAAACCAGTCTTGACCATATCAACAACCGCCGCTTTTTGGGCGGGACTGACACGGCAACAAAGGACGGACTTGCAGCGCCGGCAAAGCAACAGGAATTTCTGCCTCAGGGCATCGTCCAACATCAATCGAAGACAGTCCCCATCGAGGACAAGGGCATGGGTCGATGGGGGTGGCGAGTGGTCCTGGCGTGCCGCGGCTAATTCCTCGTCCGAGCCAGTAATTCCGAACTGTTCGAGCTTACTGTCCAGCTCCTTGGCAGCCATATCCGAATCTGGAGCACTCAATACCATAATATCCATGTCGTTGTTCAGAAGGTTGCAGGAGTAACCGATGTTAATGGCCGTTTCGATTTTATCGCCTGTCAAGACCCACAACTTGATACCGGCGTCAGCCAACAAAGAGATGGTATCGGGCACACCATCTTGCAGCCGATCTTCAATTGCCGTGCCACCCAGGAGCATCAGATCCTGTTCAATGATACCTGCGACCTCATCCAGTTTCTCTTCGCGATCCACAATGGCTGCAGCTGCCACGTCGTGCTTAAGACTCCACTCGCGGTAGAATTCCTCGTCGAGAATACGTTCTGCCACGCAGAGCACACGGAGACCTTCTTGAGCAAAGGTCTCAAGGTGCTGTGAGGTAGCATCCCTCAACTGCCGTTGTTGACCAGGAGCCAAGCGAGAGTAAATGACCGTGTCAGCGCCCTTACACAACAGACGGATGGTTCCGTCCGGCATTTGAACGATAACACTCATTCTCTTACGCGTCGAGTTGAACTCCAAAATGTTCAGAATCCGATAACTGCGTTCTTCGCCCATGATGTTAACAAGGAGCCTATCTCCGGAGCGACCCATCGCTGTGAATCCACAGTCGCGAGCAGTAGCCACCAAGGCAGCCTCATCGGGAGACTGGGCTTTGAACTCAATTTGCGGGGGGTCACCCGGAATCCGTTCCGTAACCACTGTGTGGCACAACGCCAGAGCGGCCATGAAACTCTCGACAGCTTGCTTCTGGGCATCGCCAGACGCACCACCTAGGTCCGCTGCGTACTGAGGCGAGACAAAGGTCAGGTTTTCGTCTTTGAGATATGGGTTGTCGTGCAGTTGACGCAGTCGCTGCAGCATTTCCACGCGACCGTCGCTGATACGTTGGCGAGCCTTGGCAGCTTCCTCCTCCACATTCAACAAGCCCTGTCGTCTCTGCATTCCCAACTGGGCCTCAGTATAGGCCTCACCGTATGCAACCCCGTTGACCGTACATTTCTTGAACTCCATGACATTCTGCGTCAAAGTACCTGTTTTATCCGAGAAGATATACTCGATCTGCCCGATGTCATCTGATATGTTCCAGGCCTTTGGAACGCAAGACATCTGAAGCCGCTCGTAGTACATGTGCTGGTCGAAGAATATAAAGAGCGCTTGGATCCAGCGCACGATTTCCAGTGAGATGTACAATGCAATGGGAACCAAGTTCTGAAAGAGAACCACACCAACCCAGAAGGCAACGACACCTTCCACGGCGGGGGATCCACCATAGGAGCCGTATTCGAAGAAAGTCAAGGACGCGTCATCCAGTCCCCAGGCAAAACCGTTGATAAAACCGGATATCAAGCACATGATGAAGAGGATCGCAAAGTTGTAAAGAACGTTCCAGTTCATGTTACGTGCCATTTGCGGTCGCTTAGTCGGAGTGATGCCCTGATTCAACATGATCTTTGATTCCGAACCGGTGAACAAGGCCACACCCAACGCCCACTCTGTGTTCTGAAGGCTGCAGCCACGGAGGAGAATATTGTTGATGGTGATGGGCTCTACCCGTTCCTGGGGCGGCGCCTCCGGATCGTCCTGTTGGTTATAGTAAATGGCACCGCTGAATGAATAGAGATTGGCATGCGGGGGAGGGCTTTCGATAACGAATTCCGCTCTTTCACAGTCGCGAGCATTCCGTACTGCGCGACCACAGTTAAGGGCATGGCGAACCTTCAAATTGGTCTCCCCGTCCAGGTTTTTGGTTTCCACATAGCAGGCACCGTCTGGGTCAGAGGTTGAGAGAATCACCATGTCCGCGGGAATCTGGTCACCGTTGTACAGCCGCACAAAGTCACCGACGTTGACATCCTTCCAGTGCTGACGCTTGAAGCGAGCCTGCCCGGAAGCAGTCTTGGTCGGATTGAGGATGTCGCCTTTGACGCGGCCCGAGGCCGCATTTCTGCCGGAATGATCTGCATGATCCGGCCAATCTCCAGAAGCACGGGCATCGAGGGACACGGCCCTCAATTCAATCGGAGAGGTGGGTTCCACGGATGGCCGGGCATCCGCCATCTCAACATCTCCCGCCACGTCTTTGTCGGCGGACTTGCGGCGCACGAGCTTTTTCATGGAACGGTAGGTGAATACGGTGGCCCGAGTACAGGCCTTTTTGAACTTTCGCCAGGCGGACACATTGTCAAGGGTGACGTTGACATTGTGCCAATCGGTCAGACGGTAAACCGGGGAGTTGTTGAGTTCGTTATCGGATACCGTTCGCCTCCAGTCCTCGATGGCATCCTTGATTGAGGTGACCACGACGATAATGATCAAGGGAACAGCACTCAGGCCCGGGTCGGCGTCTCCGAAGATGGAGAAACACTGCAGAATAATGACGAATAAGAAGTAAAGATTAGCAATGTTGTGGAACTGCAACCACAAGTTCTTCGGGATGAACGTCAATGGCGTGTAGATAGAAGTGCGAATCTTGTTGCGGGGATAAACGTTCTTCAGATTGCCTTCCTCGTCCCGCTCGCTGTCCGGGATGGGAAGGTTAAAGTAGACTTTTCGCGATGAAGCTGTTTCTGTTTCATTGCTTTCCGGCCCGGCGGTTGCTGCATCAGTTATGTTGTTCCGCGTATTACGTCGGTTACCCCGTTCCAGAATGGAGACTCTCTTCCGAAGACCGCTGGCGGCGGTCATGCGTTTTGTCGCCCATCGTGCGCGCTTGGTGGATTTGGCTTCCTGGTCAGGAATTGGAGGAACCTCATCGGAGGCCCGACTCAGTTCCTCGTCCCCTTTCCCGTGTATGGGATCCATTTACAATGGGTAATTCCCGGACTATGTTCAACAGCGGGCGGCAATCATCGAATCGGCTAGGACGGAGGGACCCTGCGTGAGGCGGCCACGCAGGCCTTCGGGGAGCAATCGCAGCCGCGCAGTTAATTGACCGGATGACGAAGGATAGCGGATTCAAGACAGGGAGCGGGAATTTGTCGCGATAGTCTGCTCCAGACCCGGTCGCTTCTTCGAACCTGACGAACGGCGGGGAGGACAGGCGCGGGGTGGTCGTTCGCGAGATCGCAGCGATCGTAGGGTTCGGCGAGAGTAGCAGAAAACCAAGTGTAGCGGAGCTGGCAGGGTAGATCAAGGGCGGACGGGGCTTGACGCGCGTATCGGGAGTGAGTGAGCGACGCGGGAGGTATCGAGGGGCAGTCGAGCGTCAGCAACAGTAAGATGCCAGGAGGTGGAATGCGGAGGGAGGTGGAGGAGTCAAAAGAGACAGGATGGGGGGGAAGAGAAGCCGCAAGATGGCTGGCAGAAAGGCCGGGGCTGGAAGGGAAGGAGGAGGCAGTGAGAGTAATACTAATACTAGTAGTGAGGAACTACTACCGACTAACTAGTCAGTAGAGTGAGGAGGCGAGCTCAAGCCTGAGCCGGGACTGACCGGCGACGGGCCCCAATTCGTGGATGCCGCACTGAGGCAACCCGTCCACTAATCCCCATTGAGCCACTCACAGGCCTCCATCTGGTTAGTACGGGCGCTGACTCAGTCCTTCCCCCGGTCGGCTTAGTTAAGCTGAAGGGGCTTCTTCGGCTTTTCTCTCGCCTTCTGCCTCTAGCTTCTCGTCAATTTGGCTCGGACTTTAAGGTTTTCCTTCCATCTTCCGCTATCCGTTCTGTTCTCGGAGTCGGGGTGCCGGAGTCAACCAGTTCAGAAGGATAAAAAGGGTTGGTTCCAGTGGCGGTTTCCTTGTACCCTGGTACCGCAAGGCTGGGTCGACGTCGATTTTGCTGCTGACGGCTTGCTTAGTAGTATTAACAAGTACCAACACGAGGTACTATCCAGCATCCATCCAGTGCTACTGTAAAATGCATTGCCCCTCTGGACGACGGGGCAGTGTGCTGCTTATCAATCCGGAATGCACCATCTTGCCTCTTTCAGTATTCTCTTGCGCGGAGTATCCGCCGTCATAATATATTACTGCAACAATTATCCAGTACTAGTATTACTTCCGCTTAGCCAGCTCGGATACGAACGATCCCTTTCTCAATGCCATGATTTATGATTGCTACTCTGAGAGAGAAGACTGCGTAGATTATAATACTACTGATACTAGTCATACTAAGCACACTAATGCAATGTATCTCCATGGAAGTTGGCTGTGCCCTGCGCTCAGGGCAGCAGGGTTGATGTGGTAATCTGTAGTTGCATTTGAAGAGTAGTACTAGTCTAGTCGTCTACTAAATATATACTCTCGGGAGGAGGTGTCACAGCCGCATAGGGACACAAAGGGAGGATAAGGCTGTACTAGATAGTTAGTAAGTAGTAGCACTACTAAGCTGACGGAGACTAATACTAGAATTTGTTGACTATGGATAGAATGGCCCCCCTAGCAAAAGCAGATAATAATAGAACTATTAGCCAACATCAATAGTTGTTCAGTTGCATGTTCGGGGCCTCCAGTCATGCTTTCACTGACCGCTTACTTTTATAGAACATTCTGCCGCAAAAAAATATGCAAGTACAAGAGGCAGTGGAAGCAATGCTTGAAACTTTAGATTAATGTGCTGATCCTGCAGACGTAGATAATCATTAATCACATTAATCAAAAGCACCCTAATAGGATTGAGGGCTATCCAGCTTGCTTCTATAGACAATTGTTCACCAATCGCAAGCAACAGTAAGAATCATGAAACTGCAGGAAAATAGCACACCGCCTACCGACCGACCGACATCATCATTGTTTACTCTTATTCCCCCTCTCTCACTTCCACTGTCCAGCATCTTCAATTCCCTTGGCAACCTTTCGAGCTCCATCTTCCACGCCGCTGCCCACACTCCCCAGTGCATCGCCCACAGGCTTCCCCGCGCTCCCTGTGGCGCCGGTGATGGTATCGCCGATACCTCGCCCCGCGGCGCCTGTCACCCCGCCAACAGTGCGAGAGACGCCGCCGACCGCGTTGCCGAGGGTCGATGTGACGAATTTGGCCGCGCCAGTCACTCCGGGATCCTGATTTCCAACAGGCATGTTCACCGCGATCTGGTAGATATTTCTTCAACTGGTGATAGTTTATTTGCCGTACGCAGAACCTGACAAGTATCTGCTGGTCGTGCTTATGGCTCAGTAATCAATTTCTACCTGAGTGGGTCTGACTACATACCTCAGAAGCTGTCACGCTCAGATGGGCAGCAACTCACAGTTATGTGCATCTATGACCGGATATGCCAGATGGCATCTCGAAGATATACTGTCTAACTAGTCTTAACTGCTAACTGCTAACTAAAGGTGCAGTGACCCATGACGTCAGTGGAGTCTCGGATGCACTGTGCTGTTTCCATTCCTTCCCGCGCGCTTTCTGGACGCGCGTCCATGACCCATCCCACAGATGTTGGACTCTTGAACAAACCAGAAGCACAAAATGGGATTAAAGGAACAGCTTACACTTCAAGGCAGTCTTCCACTCTTCGTGGTGGAATATAATCCCAGAAGCATAGTACGACGAAGGGGGAAATGAAGATGCCTCCGTCGACCCGCCGCTTAATACTTGTTTACCGAGCCATTTCGAGGATCTGCAGCACACCAGCTCTGTCCGGCAGGTTCCCTTTTTCTGCCAAGACGTCGGTCAAAGTCATATCGGCAATCTTGTGCAACTGCTCGTCACTAGTCACGTTGACCTCGGACAGCCGGGATGGCATCCCCAGGAGTTGCACAAATCGTAACATGGCGTCAGCGGCTTCAGTCTCCTGGAACCCCAACACCGAGTTGAAAATGTCGAGGATTATCTCCTGGGCAGCCGCGGTTTGAGGCTTGGTGTATCGCAACGTCGCGGGTAAGATGATGCAACTCTACACAAAACGTGGAAGGTTAGTCGGCCTGTCCACAATTAGTGGCATACTCGGATTTAGTTACCGTTATTCCTGGATATACGTAGAGCGGTTAGTAGCTTTCTACTTTCCGCAGCTTGAAGTGGTTCCTGGATCACTTACCATGCTGCACACCAGCGACACTTCCCTGTTGTGCAGAAGTTGAGTGGTTAGTGGTCTTTATCGCAGTACAGTCGATGTAGATGCGTCACCAAAGAGCGGACTCACGAGTTGATGGCCGATCGCATGGCTTGGCCCCATATTAATCTTCCATTGAATGAAGGGCAGGAGAGCGTCTCGTGAGCCGCGCTGACATTCCGAGATGCCTTTGAGCAATTCCTGTTCATCATGCTTTTCCTGACCGGTGTGATAATCTTTGAGACCCCGGATCAGGATTGGCAGCGCTTTCTTGATATGCTCCGTGGCTTCCTCGTGGCACTCAGGATTGCACAGTGTCTCCACGAAATGATCCACAGCCCGCACACCTGACGCCAGCCACAGGTGTGAGGGCATGGTACTTGCGATCCGCGGGTCCATCAGGATCAAGCTCGGGGATCCCTCGGGATGCATAAAGTGCTGTTTCTTGCCCTGGGCATTGGTGCCGCTGGCATAATGGTTCCACTCCCCGGCGCTGAGACTGGTCGGCACGCAGATGAGCTTAGTGGTGGGTGCTTTGATCCCGTCGGGGCCAGCCAGACCGTAAACCTGATCGACCAGGGCTTCCATATCGTCTGTGCCGAAGCCGGCTGGGAGAGTTGCACTGAGCATGACGGCGATCTTGCATGCGTCGGAGTAGGAACCGGACCCGATGGAGATGACAGCCTGAATGCCCTGTGACTGAATGGTATGGGCAATATCCATGATGTCCCGGTACGGGGAGTGACTTCCCACTCCCGTTTTCTTTTGTAGCACACAATGGGATAGCCGGGCCTCCAAGTCTTTGATCTTGGATGTTTTAGTGTCGAGGGTCGTGCTCACGACTAGTAGGATGCGAGACGCTCCCCATTCCTCCAAGGCGGCCGGAATATCATCCAGGTAGGAGGCCTCAAAAATGGCATCGTGGCCCTCGCGACCGTCTAGGTCGAGTTGCTTGATCTTCTGCCGCATGGTCTGGGCGCGTGAACTTGGTTGAAGAGGTGGTCGACAAATCGATTCGGTCAGGAACGAGCAGCACGACGGCAAAGCCTGGATAGGTACTATTTGTGACACGTCTGGATGAACATAAACCGGATGCTACGCGGGGTACAAGTAATCGGCAATTTCGCGTGTGCAGCCGCTAGTCTAGTAGACAGTCAGACTGGACTGAACTAATCCATACGAGGTTACTAACGATGGATGCTCCCGGGAGGCCAAGCCTCAAGGTATCGATCGGAGACACTGGTTGGAGGTACTGGTATAACACATGGCCGTAGTGCAAATTGATGCACACTTAGAAAAGATGCTCCACTGTCTCAAGTTTCAGGCTTCAGGGTTCAGCAATCCTGGCAACCGCAAGATGATGCGGTGTATGTTGATTGGCAAATGCATCACAATCCTTATTGCTTATCGGACCGCCTTTGCCGATAAGGACCGACTGGGAATAACATCATAACATCACCCCTACCACCGCCAGTGAACGCTCCAATGAGCGCCTCCAAGCACCACTCATTCGTGGGAAGACATCCTGATTTTAGCTCAATGTCTAGACCCTGAATCTGGTGGATGAGATGCCTGCAGATTTCTAAGCATTCTAAGCACCGGATGGATCTGGGGAAGAAAGTGGTCACGGTGACGTCTCGGTCGCAACGTCATGGTTACGTGCCAGACAGCCAATCCGACCACCCCAATTACAGAGGATGTTTGACTGGCTCGCAGAACTGGGAAGCACTCCGATGATCATATAGCGTTTATACATAATGTAGGCTCGCCCCCCCGGTCGCTGGAATTGTTCTGTTGCCATCCACTAGCTCTTACCGAGTTCCCTACCACTGGCTTTATTCACAGCAACCTCACAGTATCACCATGGCCACGGTCATTGCCGAAGGGCTTGAGAAAGCTCATGAAGCCGTTAAGACGGCTTCATCTAAGAACAAGAAGACGGTCGACTTGGAACGCGACCTGGTCGATGTCACCACTGAGCAGCGTCAGACCACCGACCACGGCGTGCCCATTAGCAATACCGACAATTGGCTGCGGTCGGTCGATGACCGTCGCACAGGTCCATCGTTGCTAGAGGATCAGATTGCGCGCGAGAAGGTACTTCCACATTCCTGCGCTGATTATCGTGAAGAGGTATGCAGTGGCTGATCGTATCCTAGATTCACCGATTCGACCACGAGCGGATTCCCGAGCGTGTCGTCCATGCCCGTGGTACCGGCGCTTTCGGAAACTTCAAGCTACTCGAAAGCTGTGAGGACGTGACCTATGCCAAGGTCCTAACCGATACATCGCGGAATACACCGGTCTTCGTCCGCTTTTCCACCGTGCAGGGCAGCAAGGGAAGCGCCGACACGGTGCGTGATGTTCGTGGATTCGCAACCAAATTTTACACAGACGAGGGTAACTGGGACCTGGTTGGAAACAACATCCCGGTTTTCTTCATCCAGGACGCTATCAAGTTCACTGATTTCGGTACGTCCATCCCAATCCGGTTCCTTATCCCTGACTTAACTAATTAACTGGCGCAGTCCACGCTGTGAAGCCCGAGCCTCATAATGAGGTCCCTCAAGCGCAGACCGCGCACAACAACTTCTGGGACTTCTGCTATTTGCACCCAGAAGCCACTCACATGTTTATGTGGGCCATGTCGGACCGCGCCATTCCCCGGTCCTACCGGATGATGCAAGGGTTTGGTGTCAACACTTATTCGCTTATCAATAAGGAGGGCAAGCGCCACTTTGTCAAGTTTATTTGGACGCCTCACCTAGGCGTGCATTCATTCGTTTGGGATGAAGCTCTGAAGCTGGCGGGTCAAGACCCGGATTTCCATCGCAAGGATCTGATGGAGGCAATTGACAACGGCGCATATCCGAAATGGGACCTGTCTATCCAGACCATCCCTGAAGAAAAACAGGATGACTTCGAGTTCGACATTCTCGATGCAACCAAGATCTGGCCAGAGGATCTGGTCCCGCCCCGCACCATTGGTGTGTTGGAACTCAACCGCAACGTGGATGAATTCTTCCCGCAGACAGAGCAGGTTGCATTCTGTACATCGCACATCGTTCCCGGTATCGACTTTTCCGATGACCCTCTTCTTCAGGGCCGCAACTTCTCCTACTTCGACACCCAGATTAGCCGTCTCGGAGTCAATTGGGAGGAGTTGCCCATCAACCGCCCCGTCTGCCCCGTGCTGAATCACAACCGCGACGGTGCCATGAAACATCGCATCACCAAGGGTACCGTCAACTACTGGCCCAACCGCTTCGAGGCGGCAAAGCCGGACGAGCCCGCTCCCCAGGGTGGCGGCTTCGAGTCATACCCAGAGCCGGTACAAGGCCGCAAGAGGCGCGCGTTGAGCCCCAAGTTCCGCGAACATCATTCCCAGGCCCAACTCTTCTACAACTCCATGTCGGAGCACGAAAAGCTGCACATCGTCAAGGCTTTCGGGTTCGAGCTGGACCACTGCGATGACCCTATTGTCTACGAGCGTCTGGCGGGTAAGCGTCTGGCGGAGATTGACCTGACGCTGGCTCAGCAGGTGGCGGAAGTTGTGGGCGCTCCGATTCCCCAGAAGGCACTGATGGCCAACCATGGCCGGAAGACGATCCATGTTTCCCAGACTGAATTCCCCCCCAAGTCTCCGACCATCGCCAGTCGGCGCATTGCCATCATAATTGGCGACGGATACGACCCGGTGGCCTTCAAGGGCATTCAGACTGCTGTGAAGGTGGCGGGTGCTTTGCCGTTTGTCATCGGCACCAAGCGGTCGCCCATCTATGCCGACGGGGAGTCGAAGGAGACATCGCAGGGCATCATCGCCGACCACCAGTACGATGGACAGCGATCGACCATGTTTGATGCCACGTTCATTCCCGGTGGCCCGCATGTGGAGACGCTCCGGAAGAACGGGCAGATGCGGTACTGGATCGCCGAGACGTTTGGCCACCTGAAGCCACTGGCTGGTACGGGCGAAGCAGCCGAGCTAATCAAGGAGGCGCTGGGTAGCGTGCTGGATGTGCAAGTGGCCACCAGCTCCAAGCCACAGCCCGTGGAGTGGTATGGCGTGGTCACGGCCGGTGGCGTGCAGAAGCCGGAGAGCTTCAAGGAGAGCGTGGAGATCGCGAAGGGGGCCAAGGATTTCGTGGGCATGTTCTTCTACCAGATCGCGCAGCACCGGAACTACCAGCGCGAGTTGGATGGGCTGAGCTCAACCGTCGCCTGGTAAACAGCCTCAAGCCGTGACTTGGATGAGGGTGTAAATTGTAATGATGGGATGGTCCGTGATCATGAGAAATGAGTAATTAACTGTTTGCAAATGTATGTTAGGATAATGACTACTTAATGCACTTATCAGAAAGAATGAAGCATACCTCGTAAGAGTGACATCTCACACCACAATATCATCTTCGCGATGCGTCAAATACATTACAATCGGATGAATTGTATCACGTCGGGCGCCCCTGACGACCAGTAAGCACTTACCTAGCTAACACAACATGTGTGTAGCAATTAACCCTGCAACAGGGGTTGGGATAAAAGATTCAGGATGCGAATCTTCATACGTATTACAACCGGTTATCAGCGTTGAAGATTTCAATTCAGTGTTATATATAGTGGTCCAATTTAGTAGATAGCATCCGACACTCCCCACCGTCAACCCAAAGATCAATACGTGTTCAGAGCGTCGCAGATAGATGAATATGCGTCGATAACCTAAGTTGTTATAGCTAAATTACATATCTAACGGTCCACAGTACACAGTCACAATCAAGATCGGACCAAAAGTAAACTAATGCCATCCGTCTGATATACAGATATTACCCCGCTCTCCAAACTCCATATTTTCAAATTGGGCGACAGTAAATAGATCGACAATACATTACATCTTACACTTACATCTACTGCAAGTGAGGGTGTGTTGCACAGTATCGTTCCTTGTGCAACGAAATCTGCATTTCAGGGGGAGGGGAGGGGGGAAGGAAAGAAAGTTGTGTTCCTGCAGTCAAAGAAAGAAAGAAAGAGGAAAGGGCGGTGCCAGCCACTCAATCTCGGCTTTATCAGGGAATACGAAGGCGCGGAGTTAAAAAAGGTGGGAGAAAGGGTTGGGTTTCTTTCCCGCACTTGAACAAAGAGTCAATCGTGCTGTGTTGATTGGGCGGGGAGATAGAGAGTTAAAATACGTACTATTTATGAAGTTGGTTAGTCTCTTATTGATTTAGTTGGTTATGGCTAGTTACAAAGTAGTTAGATGGTTAACCGCCAGGCGTTGATAAGGCACCCAGTGGAGCCCCCTTGCGTCGAACAAAAACAAGGTATCGGGGGAGGATGACGAATTCCAAAATTGATAAGGAAAGAAGCACAAAGTGCGACGTGGGAAGTAATATAGGAGGTCAACTTATGAGGAGGTTAGGATGGGCTGATGGGAGGCGAGGGACTGTTAGTATCCTGTGTTGGTCCAGATTTTGAGTTTGGACCTGAGCAGTTGGAGATCGATTTATTATTATTATGCATGGGGGAATTTCTGCCAAGATGGGACTACGAGAAGTGGCGGTGCGATGAGAAGAGAACATGGAGAAAGAAGAGAGTGAGTGGGAGCGAGAAAGAGACAGAGGCAGTGTGATTCTGACAGGTCTTTCCCAGTCTACCCTACCCTACCTTTCTTTTCTTTTTTACTCATGTTCTATCCGCATAAGCTAATAGCCCCATGCGTTATCAATCGAGTGTCTATTGGTCCACGCTGCATCCCGTCCACCTGAAACCAGCCCAATCCTGCGCCAGCATCGATTGCCTGTCATCAGAAACCTCACCATCCCCCGTTCGCCCCGTTCCCTGGTTCCTGACCAGTCGGCTATATATAGCATGTCTGTTTTTCAAAATGATCCAAGTATTGAGAAGTCACCCACTCACAGACCATCGGAGGATCTACTTGACTTAGAGTACTAGTAAGTAAGTAGTAGTAGCAATAGTAGTAGTTGGTGTTGTTGTGGTCATGTAATGGGTCCGGTTCATTCTCCGGGATTCTCTTTGGGGCGGCTAAGACTGAACTGAACTGAACCCGTTGAAGATTCGGTCATCTCGGCCATAAACTAACTAGCAGTATTTGTGAGACACGATGGCAAACTGGATACCCATTAACACTTCTATTTAACCAGGGTCTCCTCCGACATTTTTCTGTCTGTCTTGATTCCTTCCATCATTCTTCTATCTTTCTTCTATCATCATAATATCCAATTGATACCCTTTCCCTTCTTTAATTTATTCATCTCCGCAACCATGCGTCTCTCTTACGCCGTGTCTCTTCTGCCTCTGGCCGCCTTCGTCGGCGGTTAGTCTACCCTCTTATCTTCCCAGTCAATTCTCCGATACAGCCATCTAACGTCTATCTAGCCCTCGAGGTCACCTCCCCCAAGAAGGGCGAAGATGTCGATATCTCCAGCTCCTTCTCCGTGACCTGGGATTCCGTCTCGTATGTCCTGTCCCCTCTGTCCCTTATCAGCCCTAAATCACACCACATACTAACCACCATGCACAGGACTGACCCCTCCACCTTCGACCTCTACCTGGTCAACAACGCCGTCTACCCCACTGTAGAGAAGAAGATCGCCTCTGATGTCGACACCTCCAAGGGATCTTACACCGTGTCCGGCCTGTCCGGCGTCACCGATGGGTATGTTTCCTCCACTTCTCTACACTTCATCCACCATCACCACCATACTAATAACGTAAACAGCTCCGGCTACCAAATCAACCTCCTCTCCACCTCCTCCACGAACAGCGGCATCCTCGCGCAATCCGAGCAGTTCACCGTCGAGGGTGGTTCCAGCTCCAGCTCCACCACCACCGCCAGCGCCTCCATGACTACCTCCGCCTCTTCTTCTTCTTCTTCCTCTACTGGCACTTCTACTGGTACTGATACCTCCTCCACCTCTTCCTCATCCTCCACTGGATCCAGCTCCATCACCACTGCAAGCTCCAGCACAAGCTCCACCTCCAGCAGCACCAGCAGCAAGCTAACCACTACTACCTCGGGCGCTAACACTCTGTCGACTACAGCATCCTCGACTCGTTCCGCCTCTGCCTCGGGTACCTCTGCTGCCTCTGCCAGCGGTACCGAGACTACTGCCCCCGTCTCCACCGGCGCCGGTATGGCTCTTGCTGCGCCGATGTCTGTTGCTGCGGGCTTGGTGATGGGTGTTGTGGCTATGCAGTTGTAAACCAACCCCAAAGCTTTCTATTTGTGGATGGCTGAGATGTAGTGCGGTGCTGTGGGGTGGGGGATGAGGATGTGAATGAGTGACGGAGTTTCTCTTCTCATCTATCACCTAATTGGTGATTTTGAAAGCAATACCGCAGTTTTATTGCTTGTATAGATACATACTTTCTAGCTAAGCTAGTTATTACTTAATGGTTCTATAGCATATATCCATTACATTACTTTATTTTGTCACCGAAGAAGATCCTGGTAAATGGTATCCGTGGTTAGGCATTCTTTCTACAATGCAGTAGTAGTAGGGTTTAAGCTGGATGGAATGGAGTAAAATCCTTGGGATTGTTGGTTCCGTTCCATGCGACCGGTCGAACCATGTGCGGTGCACGTTAGGCAGCAAGTGAAATATTGAGAGAAAAAGGAAATTCATGGCCCGGCCACTCCTACCGAAGAATAGGCAGATAGGTAGAATCCCAAATCAGAACATGTCCGAGAGAGAACCCAATTGCTACAATGTGCATGTGTTGATGATCCATGGATCTTTCGGTCCTGGATGGACCCTTTCGGGTATGACCCCGACAGTGAGACACAACCCAGACCCTGTAGGGCCATTGGCAAATACCAGAAAGTTTAGTTGTAGTCGCTGGAATTGAAAAATACAGGTAGGAAGTTTCGGAAGTTGGACACGGTATTGTTACCGTGTGTCGGGCAGCACCGAATGAGTTACTGCATTGGGTAAAGATGGTGTTAGGTGACCCCACGGACCAGTTCAGAATCTTTTTATTTACTTTTTTTGTCACTTCGCTTGGATGATAGGATTATTTTTGGGTGAGATTGTGTCTTATGTCCTGGGTAATTTTTGTGTATGTTTTTTTTCTGTGTGTCTCTTGGAGGTATTAGGATACATGGAGTTGTTTAGACTAGTTGTTTGTGTGGATATATTTTTTCAGTGTTGTCTGATTATCTTGTCACGCTGTCTTACTATAGTAAAACTAGTCTAATAAATAATTACATGTTGAGAGTAATAATATACATCATGTCTTAGAGCACATGAATACTAGGACCATCTTCATCTCGATAATGGTCCGTCCTAAGTCAGCTAGCATGCTTGACTACCATAAATATCGACGTTACTATTCCAATATCCCCTGAGTCAGTTTCAAACATCCACCCAAATCCAGCATGAGTAAAGGTAGAGACTTACAAAGGCTCCTTCATACACCCTCGGCCATCCGCCGCACTATCCACCCAAACACTTACCCTCATCCCCTGGACCGGAAACTCCCCGTACCCCATCTCATCAATCACCGTGACAGACGGGTGATCATCATCTCGCTGCAGTAGATCCGCCCACTTCTCGCCGGCGTGTTTCCGACCCACGTACATGCGCTTCGTGGCTGGTCCGCCGTTGCTCATGACGCACGCCAGCCCGGAGGGGTGAGCGGCGTTGCCGTAGCGGATGAAACCTTTTATTTATTAGAGACTGCATCGCAGAGAGGAAGGGACGGTCTTACCAATGCAGTTGGGCTGGTCAAAGTAGTCTTGCTGTTCACCGTAGGCGTACCATTTGCGCGCACGCATGAGAATCGGGAGTTGGCCTTCGCAGGCCGGGACTGGAGACTGGCCACCGTCGCAGCTGCCGTAGAGGTCGCCATAGAAGACACATGGGTGGCCTCCTTGGCGGAGGAGGATTAGGGCGTAGGCGAGGGGTTTGAAGGAGGGTTCGACTATATTCTGGTAGATGTTAGCTCGTTGCTCGTCGTCAGACATTTAGTGAATGCATGTACTCACCTCGAGCATTTGTCCCGGTTGCTAAGTTGCCATATTAGTTCAGCACTCATCCACATACCATCGCTTCACAGAAAGGGATGTACTCACCGTATCATGATTCGTAACGAACGTCTACAATACACGCCTCATTAGTCTTTCTAAATCCACCAAACAAGAGTAATGATAACTCACCAACGCATTGCCCGGTCTCTCCTTCATCAACGTCCCCTTCAACACGCCCCTCAAATCCGCCCTCCTGGTCCTCGACAGTCCCGAAAACCTCTCAACCAGTGGCACATCCACCACCGCAACCCGATACTCCATCTCCTCCAGATACCTCAATAGCGCCCTCAACTCCCCACTCCAATACTCCCCAATGACAAACACCTTCCTATCCCCCGCCTGACTTCTCACACAATCAATAAACTCCCTCTGAAACGCCGTTGAGAAATGCTTCGCCGCATCTAACCGCATCCCGCTCAATGGCAGCACAGACATAATCCATTTCGCCCAGCGCAACACATCCTCCCGAACCTCCGGGTGCGAGTAATCCAGATCCGCGAACATAAGGTAGTCATAGTTGCCGTTCTCATCTGTGCCGACATCGTGAGCCCAGTTCTTGTCCGGCCGGGAAGGGTCCAGGATCTTGTAGATTGCTTTGCGTTGGTGGGCGTCGTCCCAGTCTACTCCAGAGAAGTGGTGCCAGCGGTATTGCAGCGGGCTGTAGGTGGTGCCCCGGCCGGGGAAGGTGAAGGATGTCCAGCCTGCAATTTCTTGGGGACTGCCATCTTCAATATCTCGTCCTGAAGAATACGTATCAGTAATCATGACACTCACACACAATAGATAAAAATAGCGAGAAATACGATCATCACCAACCCTCACACCCTCGAACCTCTCCACGCCATCCGCTCCAGCCTTATGATTCAACACCGCATCCCATAAAATCCCTACGCCCAGGGCACTCGCCTCCCTTACCAGATCCTCTAATTCCGCCCTCGTACCCCATTTCGTCCCCACCGCTCCCTTCTGATCAAACTCCCCCAGATCATATAAATCGTAGATATCATACCCGTTGCCGTTGGCATCCATGCCCTTGCATCCCGGCGGAATCCAGATGCTGGTTACACCGAGGGAGTGGATAGCTGGCAATGCATGCTGCAGCCGGCGCCAGTGGCTGCGCTTATCTGGGGTGTTGGGGGTGGTAGGGACGTGCCATTCGAAGGCTTGGAAGAGGAGGGTGTTTTCCGTGGGGGAGTGCCATGAAGGGAGGGATTCTATGGCGTTGGCTTTTTCTATTGATTTGTTATTACTATGGGTTGATTTTTGGGTAGTTGGGGGGGGGTTGCTAACCCTCTATTTGCTTTTGGGATTGAGTTTGGGATTTGGTGCGTTGTCGCCGGCTTTTGAAGCAGGGGAGGAAGTTGAACATATTGTTTGGGTTCTTGTTCTTGTTCTTTGGGGGTACTTTGTGGGTTTGTGGTGGTGGTGAGGAATTTTTTTATTACTGCGGCGAGGAAGAGGGATTAGCTAGTTTACTGTGTCTGTGTCCATGTAGTTTGGATGGATGATGGATGGTAGGTGAAGAGGTGATTGCAGCGACAGAGCTGAGCTCACAAAGAATGTTTAGAATAGCTAATGTGTCAACACTAAGAATAGATGGCTAGCTAGCTAAGTCAGTTAGTTAACACGTTGTGCATGACTTCAGTTCAATTTTCTATGGGTCCTGAAGTGGGCCTTTTTTTCGCTGATGACCAAGTATTTTTAGCCCGGGCGGTTTGCTCGGAACCCTACCGAGGCCGAACGGATTTGCCTCCAGATTAGTGTTGGGAGAGGATCAGCCAGCCACGGTGATCGTCAACAGCTGTTGGATGCAGGTACCCGTTTTGGCTCATTGTCTGGAATTTAGTATATAGGTGATCTATATATATTGTACTGGAGTTTTAGTTGTCTCTATTCTGTTTATTGCTTAGTGCTGGAGGACTAGTAATTAGTGTGGAAAAGTGAGACGCGGTTACCGCGAGTATATGCAGGTGGTAGTGAATATTTGTGAAGTGAATATATACAAAATACTAGGTAAGGGTATCGTTACTGCAAATACATACAAAGAACACAGAAACAGATAATATATCTCATCCCATCTGTAGCTATCAGCATATTACCACATCCCCACAAGCAGACCCGCCACCCCAGACAGCACCAGGGAAAGCAAAGCATTGGAAGCTGCATCGGTCTTGATGCCCAGCGACAAGGCAGCCTCTGCCGCTGCTGCACCCTGCGTCTTCAAGGCAGCATAGGTGACATTCGCGACAGGAAATCCGCACAGTCCACTGCCGGGCATCAGATCCGCCGGGAAGAACACGCGCGGCTCTCCTTTATCCATTGGAACCACGAGTTCACTCTGGGCATTGACCGTGTAGTTGATGCAGTTGAGAATCTCGGTCACGACCGTGCCGCCCGTGAAACTCACCGGCATCGAGAGGTTGTAGGCGCTGCTGTTGGTGCCCTGCGTGGACAGAAGCATGACCACTTGCCGGCCTTCGACTCCCTTGCGGAATCCCAGTTCACTGCCACCCTCGAAGATGGGGTACGTCTGAACATCCGGATATTGATTATCGAGTCGGTAGGCGTGCTTCCGGATGGCATTCAACTTGCCGATCAATTTGTAGAGCTCGGCGTCGGTGTTGTACTCAGTAAGCCAGATCGCTTCTCGGTTCTTGGGACTGCCGGGGCCATCCAAATGCTGCTCCTGACCTTGATAAATCATGGGCACACCATCAGCGAGAAGAGTGAATGTAAGGATATTCTTCGCGAGCTAAGGGGGCAGAATGTTAGCTAGCGAATGCGTTCAAGGGTTCAAGAGTCCATACCGCCATGTCCGGGTTCATGCTGGCAAATCGTGCGACATCATGGTTTTCGGAGAACGAGGATAAGGCGGTCACATCATGGCAAGAATTCTTCATCTCCTGGACTTGAGTGGCCAGGGCGCTGGTGTTGCCCAGGGTGAAGGCCTTCAACATGGCGTAGTAGACGGGATAATTCGGGAGACTGACGATGTAATTATTCTGGTAATCGCAGATGGTGCTGACCTCTTGCTGCAGCACTTCGCCGGTCATGAAGATATCCACAGCATCGCCGAAATTCTTCAGAAAGCCAGGGTTCACGTGCTTTGCTGCATCGATGCGGAGACCGTCAATGGAATAGGTGGATATGACCTCCTTTGCCCAGTTGCTTAGCGTTTCTTGAACCTCGGCATGCTCGGTATACAGATCGGGCAGGGCCACGATGTTGTCACCGGTCTGGCATAGCTGGGCGTTGGTGAAGTTATTCCAGTCGGTGATCTTACAGTACGGATGATAGTAAGACGAGCTGTTGAAGGGGGTGAGGGTTGAATAGTCGATGTGGGTGGCGGGGTCGGAGCCATTGGTGATGTAGGCCATGTTGTTGATGACCGTGTCCATCATCAGATACATGTCGCGAGCATGCAGGGCGTCACTCAGATCGAGCAGATCCTGGTGCGTGCCAAAATGAGAGTTGAGGGAGTACAGATCCAAGGGCCAATAGCCGTGATAGGCTTCTCCATACTCCACGCGACCTTCGACGTTTTCGATGATAGGGGAGATCATGACGGCATCAAAGCCCATTCCCTGGATGTAATCGAGGTGATTGATCATGCCGCGCCAGGTGCCACCACAGTACAGACCCTCTGTGGTGTTGCAGGGGGAGGTGGTTGAGCCATCAGTGCGCGCGAAGCGATCCGTCATGGTCTGATAGATTGACCGAGACTTCCATTGCTCGGTGGTGGCAGCCAGCGACGACCCCAGCCAGCCAGCAAGATAGAGGACTCCAAGCCCGTGTCGCAGGGCTGACATTGAGACCATGGCTACAGTCACTGGAAAAATGTAATTTATATCAATGATACAGACGCTCACATGTACCTGCCGAGCAACTGCGGGGCCGACTTGGAGACACGATAAGGCGAATGTGGTATGCTGGGAGATAGTCGTTTACGCTAAAAGGAAGGATACGGGCTCGGCAGGAGCTGAAAGAGTGAAAAAAGAAGTGGGACCCAGATGTAGAGAAAGAATGGCGCTGGTCAGATCCAGAGGAAAAAAAATGAATGGCAAGGGAAAAGCCCAGGAAGAGGGGGTCACTTCAGTGATGGATGCATTGGTTGATGTGTCGAGAGCGAAAGAATGAGCGAGGAGGGAGGAAGGGAAAGGAGAGAAGAGGAGAAGAGAGGAGAGAAGAGGGGAAGCAAGAAGAAGTGGAATGCTGGGGAAGAGCTTGACTGAACATCAGGTGCAGGTGCAAAATGCCGGTGGAGCGAGCAGCAAGGGGACCTACCTCACTAACTGCATTCAGGCCGGATCCCCTGGATGGGATGGTAAACAGGTAAACTAGTCTGCTTTTTTAGTTCAATTCGAGAGGGGACCAATGAGTGTGCAGTGCAGTGCATCTGGGCATCATAGTATACTAACTCAGGGTGGCGGGGGAAATTGCCAATCGGAGAAAAGGGTAGTAGAGATTGATATCTAGATACATTTCCCTCCTTATCATGATCACCATCATTCTCATCAGCCATGTGTGAAAGGCATCAGAGGCGTTGCCCTGATCCCTCGAAGCCTGATCTTTAAGATTTTCCCGGAACCCCAGGGCGACTCCCGCACAGGACCAGGAACCATTGATCCCTGCCGGTGGTGGCACCGAGGTTCCCTCTTGCAGCTCCCCCAGATTATTGACTACTACCTGAAGATACCACTGCCTGGTTTGCCAGCCTGTCCGTCCCATTGGCCTCTCGAGGGGCATTTCTCCTCATCCCCCCTGCAGATGTCACGACTGGCGTCAACGGTGGCACGAGTTTGCCGGCGAAGGAATGGCTTCTGGTTTCTCCAAGACCAAGCCTGTCACGCCGCCACGAGCTGGGGCTAATGCTTCTGCCAGGCACAAAGAGCGGCAGATGAGCGAACCGGCTATTCCGATGGGTCGAATGGGGAAAAAGAGGGGGGCCAGTGAGACATGTTCTTGACTAGTAGTTTAGTAGAACCATTCTGGTGTCTGCCCTACTTGGAATCTCCGGAAAGACACCGTTTTAGGCTATTTGGTAATCCAATGAAGACGGCCAGGAACTCCACCGCTAAACCCTGACCAAGTAGAGACTAGCCAATTAGTATAATTAGTTCACTAGGGGAACATTGTTGGCACTTGAAATGATGTGAGACAGTCAGACAACAGCGGATATACTGGTCCGAGAAAGCAGCAGAAAGCTGCTCCAACCCCCAATTTTTGGACGGAGATCGCGTGGTGGATGGACAAAGGGGGAAAATGAGAACGAGGGCAAAGCTTGGCTCATTCTGTCGCCATGTTCCTTGACGGTTGACCCCAGATGCTTGGCAGGAGATAAGTGATTGAGATAATTTTCCTCGTCTGCATAAATTGACTGACTTCATAGACTTGCTATCTAATGCAAGGTTCAGGCACACAGGATAAGTAGCCCGATAAGAGAGGAACAGCCTGTCCCAGAGCAAATATGATTTATCTTCTCATTATTCTTTTCCCAGGCGAGCCAAGGTCCAACCGCCAGAGTCTTGGCGGCGGGCTTGGCTGGCAGGATCGGGAAAAGCGGCGTTGCCCGAATCAGCAGCTTGGATTTCAAATTACCATCTGACGCTGCAAGTTTCACCGTACTGACGGTACCTTACTGCCCAGCGGGGCCCAAGGGAGCAAGAAAAAACAAGAATAAATCTTATTATTGGAAACGGTGGTGTTGCTCGGAAATTTTCTTGTTCGCTCCTGGGTGAAATTCTGCCCTGGCTGATAATCAATTTGCAGGAGACCATTGGCCCGCGAGGGATGGAAATAAAACAAGTAAGACATGCATGGCCCGATTTCTCGTAGTGTGGTGTATCCGATCAGACCTTTAGCAGAAATCAGTAGTAGTCACCACTTAGGTACTTCGTTAGTTCTCCGCGAGACTAAAAGAAGACTAGTCCCGTCTATCTATCTCGGTTCTGTGTGGTGTGTGAATTGTGAACAGATAGCACACCGGGATGCCAAGGGTCCAAACTAGTCTAGTTAGACCCTCTCTCCAAAAAATCCAAGGTGGCTGCCAGCCTCACGGGAACCCGACCAAAGACCATCCAGATTTGAATCTGCGATCCCGTAAATCCTTCGCCGGAGACCCACTCCCGCCTGGCCAGGATGGCCTCCGTGGCTCCAACGAAAAACTTCCTGGCATCTTACTGACTTGTGTACCTTAAGGGTCTGTGTGGCCTCGAAGGAGTGGAAAGTATGCTTCTGCAGGGGCGAGCGTTGTTTAAGGATGACATGCTTATCATTCCTCAGGCTCGTTAGAAAGAAAAGAAAATAAGTGGCAAGACCAGCGTCAAAATTTCCTGTTTCTTATTGCCTGTTATTTTTGTGTTTTTCGCTTTCTCCGCTGCGAGGGAGTGAAAAAAAGTGACACAGGGGCTTGGCAGTTGAACCGGGCAGAAGAGCCAAAATAGCAGGCAAAGAGTGCAGGGGCCCGCTCTCGGTCGGTGACAGCTTTCTGGAAACTTTCAACCGGTCAGGGATCGCTTCGGGATCAACCACGGAATCATCTCCGGGCTATGACTGGCTCGTCAGTATTTTTGGTCTTTTTTTTCCCTTTCTCTTACCTTTTTGCAGTTGGAGGCCCGAAGTCAACGCCACGGAAGTTGGCGGATTGAAGCTGATTGGGAATACTTACTGTTGCCCCCAAAAATACTCACACCATATTCAGGAACAAACACACCACCCTCAAGCCCGCTGCATGCATGGGATGGCTCACCTCCCCCTTCTGCGAGTGAAGGGCAGGAAATCACGGTATAGGTCTTACCCTTTACACCAGAAAACTTAACTATACAAGAAATGACTACCAACTACCTTTCACCTCCATCACTTCTCTCCAGTATACTACCACTACCACTACTAGTATAGTAGACTAGTAGTCGAATCCCGGTCCCTCCACCACACCACCAATCGGGAGGGTCCGTCCTTATCAGACCCAAATTTCCTCCCAAAGAAATTGAGAAAAAATGAGCAGCTTGATGACAGTAAGACATCACCTGCACTATTGTGTAGAGTGTCTTAGAAGAGGGCCAATAGAGTTTTTTCGTTACCGAGATTGGCTGCACGCCACCGTATTGCTGCCTCTCCAGGTATCGTTTGGCTTGGGCGTGAATACGACCTGGCACCCTTAGCCTAGTAAAGGTTATTACCGTCAGAAGCAGCAGCAGCAGCAGTAGCAGAAGAAGGGGTCTTCGCCTGTATCCCATAGTACGGAAATGGGCGATGGGAACAATAAGGAACGCCTCGGAGGGACCAGGGAGGGTCCAGTTTTTCGGGGGACTAAAGGGAGGGACGAGACTAGATCTCAAAGGGGATTGGTGAGGGCCTGGCGGTATCAAAAGTGGGCGGAAGAACCCTTCTTTCAAGACATCCAGTGATCCAGTTTCAACTGCCCCTTGAGTTCCACTCTAAACTGCTTCCCGGTCCGAGAGGAAACCCTACGTCTGTACTAACGGCTCCCGAATAGCCTACTTACGATATACGAGAGTGGCTCATAATTTTTCAATGGGATGGATGGCTGTCGGACCACCCAATGGTCCGCTTCCGTTATTCATATTTTCATTCATCCTTTTTTTATTTTTCTTTTATAATAATTCTTCTAAATTTTCATTTTTTCAATACTAATACTTATTTTTAAATCCCCTCTTTTGGTCTTTGCACCGCACTGCCGCGGTCTAGTCCACTCTCAGCAGGCAAAAAGTATTCCGTCATAGCCAAAGAGCAATCGCCCCTCCCTCTGGCTCTGGACAAGGCTAGAAGTCCCTCCGGCGTGGATTCGATAACTTACTTACCCCCGGGGAACAGGTCCTATACGAGTGAGCTGGCACCGGGGAGCCATTCAGAGTGGTTCTCCAGTCAGCTTGGGGTTATTATTAGCAAAATACACATCGACGAGACAAGACGAGACGTCTCGTCTGTTTCCCTTTTATTATTTTATTTTTCATTTCATCGTCCCTTAGTCCCCTCCCCTCGATCCACTATCGCGGATATCGATGTGTGCCCCCAATCCAGCAGCCTCTCATTGCTGAGCCTCAGCATCGCTGCTAGTCTAGTAGTAGCTCAGTATCTTACTACTTACTAGTTGGACTGGACTGATTAGCTTTTTTCTCCATTTGGCTTTCTCGCCTTTGTCCCCATCATCCATCCATCCATCCCCTCTGACACTTTCTCTTCTTCCTCCTATTCCTCGTATCATCTTTTCTCTTTTCCTCCTTCTTTCTTCCACTTCCTTCTTCTCCCCTCTCGCTGGACCCATCTTATCTCTGATCTCATGCATCGTTTCTTGTTTTGATTGTTGTTGCATTGTGATTCCCCATAGATTTCACTCGTTAACGAAGCGTGCTGTATTTCTCTCGTTATCTGCACCCTATCTATCGCTCGTTATCAGTCGCATTCATCATCCACCCATCCGACTATCATTGAGTTGACCTGCCCACCCAGCGAAGAGAGATCGCGCAGTCAACCGCGGTGACGAGGCAGAACCCGTTCTTTCTCCCCAGCTCTTGGCCAACTCAACAATCGCATTGACCTGGCTCTCCACGTCTTCTTTTCTGGTTTGTTGGCCGGTGGTCATCCCGGGTCGACTCGACCTTCCCACCCAGCATGAAGTGGGCTATCTCCGGCACGCTGCTCGCCTGTTTCGCAACAACTGCAACGGCCTGGCCCTACGACGAGTCCCTCGTCGACTACAACTTCAATCAGAACCAGTCCGCCACTAACCCGGCGGACTATTGGGGAACATGGCCCAATCACACCGGGGACTACTTCCCCTCCCCGGACAATTGGCGCTTCCCTGTCTATACCCTCTTCCTCGACCGCTTCGTCAACGGTGACCCCACGAACGACAACATCAATGGCACCCTGTTCGAGCACGACCTCCGCTCGAACCAGATGCGCCATGGTGGTGATGTGGCCGGCCTGCTGGACACATTGGATTACTTGCAGGGCATGGGAATCAAGGTCGGTCTCCGTGGCGTGCACGATGCTGCGATCAATTACTAATAATTGTTTAGGGCCTCTATCTCGCCGGAACAATCCTGATGAACCAGCCCTGGGGATCTGACGGTTATTCGGCTTTGGATACGACTTTGCTCGATCAACACTATGGTAACCTGCAGACGTGGCGCAATGCCATCACGGAAATCCATAAGCGTGGGATGTATGTCATCTTCGATAACACCATCGCAACGTAAGTTAACCGCTGCCTTTTTCTGTTCCACACCCAAAATTACTCACCTTCAATGTTTAGGATGGGCGATTTGATCGGATTTGATGGCTATCTGAACACCACTACCCCCTTCTCCGTGAAGGAACATCAGACGGTGTGGAAGACTGACCGCCGCTACGTGGACTTCCACATTGGCAATGACTATAACGAAACATGCGATTACCCCCGCTTCTGGTTCGAGGATGGCTACCCCGTTCAAGCTTCAGTCACCGAGGAACTGGTCGGATGTTACAACAGCGACTTCGACCAGTATGGTGATATTGAGGCCTTTGGTGTCTTCCCCGATTGGCAACGTCAGCTGGCCAAATTCGCCTCCGTTCAGGATCGACTCCGTGAATGGGTTCCCTCCGTGCGCGAGCGTTTGATCCGCCACTCCTGCATTATTATTCAATCCCTCGATATTGACGGTTTCCGGTACGACAAGGCGACCCAGGCAACCGTTGACGCTCTCGGAGATATGTCCAATGCGTACCGCGAGTGTGCCCGTGCCGTTGGAAAGGAAAACTTCTTCATTGCGGGCGAAATCACGGGTGGTAATACCTTTGGTTCTATCTACCTGGGCCGAGGTAGACAGCCAAATCAGTTTCCTGACTCGGCGGAGGCAGCCATGAAGCTGACCAACACTTCTGACGCCCAGTATTTCCTGCGTGAAGTAGGACATGAGGCGATTGACGGCGCAGCCTTCCACTACTCCATTTACCGAGCGCTGACCCGCTTCCTGGGCATGGATGGTAATCTGGCTGCCGGTTACGATGTGCCGGTCGACTGGGTTGATGCCTGGAATCTCATGCTGCAGTCGAATGATCTGGTCAATGCGAATACCGGCAAGTTCGACCCCCGCCACATGTACGGGGCTACCAACCAGGATGTCTTCCGTTGGCCCACTGTAGAAAAGGGCGTGGAGCGCCAGTTACTTGGATTGTACATCACGACTCTTCTGCTCCCCGGAATCCCGCTCCTTCTTTGGGGCGAGGAACAGGCGTTTTACGTTCTGGATGCCACGGCATCCAACTACATCTACGGTCGGCAGGCCATGTCTCCTGCCACCGCTTGGAGGGATCATGGCTGTTTCTCCTTGGAATCGTCTCAGTACTATAACTGGCCCATTGAGTCTGGCCGCCAGGGCTGCCATGACCCCACAGTGGCCTACGATCATCGTGACCCGTCTCATCCTGTGCGCAATATCATTAAGCACATGTATCAGATGCGCGAACAGTTCCCTGTTCTCAATGATGGCTATACTATTCAAAAGCTCTCGAATCACACCGAAGACGTGTATTATCTCGGTTCCAATGGCACAGCCACTGAGACAGGACTCTGGTCCATCCTCCGTGATGTGAACGCGGATGTGCAGGATTTGGGTTCGGATGCAAATAATCAGCCCGTCTGGCTGGTTTACCACAACACGAATCGCACCATTGATTATAAGTTTGACTGCTCGGATAATGATACAGCTCTCATTGCCCCCTTTGATAGTGGCACCTGGGTCAAAAACTTGTTCCACCCGTATGACGAGCACCAGCTGATCGATTCCCCCACTAAGTTGGGATTGAACGGCTCGACTGCATACAGTGGCTGCTTGGCTAATATGACCATGGACGCCTATGAATTCCGGGCCTACGTGCCTAAAACCCGCTTTACTAAACCCAGACCGATGATCACGAAGTTCACTCCGGGACACGATGTCCCGATCCGCTCGACCGTGGCCCCGAACGCAGACGAGAATGTGGAGGTCGAAATCTACTTCTCTGAAGAAATGGATTGCGACTCGGTGACAAAGTCAATTACCCTTTCGTCGTCGACCGAAATTGGAAAGGTCCCGTCCGTCGATTCTAACAGTGTCAACTGCAAGTCAGTCCCCGCTACTAACACCAGCTGGACCGGCCAGATCCCCGGGGTGTGGCTGTGGGCTGCCAACCTGACAGGCGTTTACAACGGCATTCATCGTCTTACTGTCAACAATGTCAGCACAGAGAGTGGGAACGCGACCACCAATGCGGTCGACCATTTCCTCTTCCGCATCGGCCAGATTGATAATCCCATGATTTTCAGCAGTGCGAACTATTCGAGTAGTTTGCTCCATGAGGAATCCAACGGTACTCTTTTCATCCAGCACCACGCCGCTGGTGCTGATAAGTATCGCTATTCAACCAATTGGGGAACCACTTTCTCCGACTGGATGGACTACAAGGGCGGAAACGACACTATTGAGGAACTCGAATGGTCGGGAACCAAGAGACAGTCTTGGAAAGGAAACCATGTCCGCGTCGAGTATTGGAGTCGGTGGACCGGCAGCAGCGACTACGTCCAAGAGGGAGACGCGGGCTGGGACGAGAATGTCCCACGCCGTTTCCCTCACGTCTTCTTCAACGGTCCTTACAACCAGTATGGATATGATGCAGGTCTGGACAACGTAGTCCGGCAGGACAGCGTAGACGGTCTCTGGAAATACCATTTCACCGCGGAATGGCCTGCTCAGGCTCAATTGAACATCTGGGGCATGAATCCTGACGGGGAGCCTGACCAAAGTTGGGTCCTAGGTGACGCTGACAATGATTCCGTTCTCGATCGCATGCCGCCCTCTTCGCTATCCGCCACACTGATTAACATCACTGAACATCCTCCCTCTCCCTACATCTCGTGGAATATCTTCATTGATGACGGGACCATGCGCTTCCAGCTGTTCCCTGTCGGGCATCAGAATACCCAGATCGCCATGTATGTGCTCTTTTGGATCATCCCCGTCATCACGGGCGCAGCCGGTGTGTGGGCTTTCATGAAGTCTTTCTACAAGGTCAAATTCAACCAGGTTGGTGTGAGCGAGAAGCACCAGATGATCCCATTGGCTTTGCGCCGGAAGTTCAAGCGCAATCGCGGCATGGATGAGGAAAACTCAAACCCTCTTATGCGTCTGGCAAACAAGTCCGGGTTCCTCCAGACCGACACGGCGATTGGCGGTGTTGCTAGCGGCAAGCGTCGCATGGTTCTGATTGCCACCATGGAGTACGACATTGAGGATTGGGCCATCAAGATCAAGATTGGTGGCCTTGGTGTCATGGCGCAACTCATGGGTAAGACTCTGGGTCATCAAGACTTGATCTGGGTGGTGCCCTGCGTCGGGGGCGTTGATTACCCCGTGGATAAACCCGCAGAGCCCATGCACGTCACCATTCTTGGCAACTCGTACGAAGTCCAGGTCCAGTACCACGTCTTGAATAACATCACCTACGTTTTGCTGGATGCCCCTGTGTTCCGTCAACAGTCCAAGTCAGAGCCTTACCCCGCCCGCATGGATGACCTGAACAGCGCCATTTACTACTCCGCATGGAATCAGTGCATTGCTGAGGCCTGCAAGAGATTTCCGATCGACCTCT